GGCGGTGGGGGGGGGGGGGGGGGCAGCTTGCTCTGTTGGCTCTCGCATGGTCCCGCAGTTAGTGGGCGCTTTTGGTTGTGTTCCGACCTCTGGTGGCGGCGGTGGACGGCTTCTTCCCCTGCGCTTCGTCATGTCATCTCGGTGGATGCGTTGGACATGGTAGATCCTCCCCATCCTTCTGCGGTTGCCGTCTGCTCTATGCAGACATGGGCCTGTTGAATCTGCGGTTCTTCTGGACTTCTTCAGTCTGCGCCCTGGATTCTATGCCCTCATCGGAGGACTGTTGTCTCCTGTCCGGCTTCTGTTGGGGCCGGGTGCCTGGATGGTGGCCCTGGACCTCCAGGTCAATTCTTGGCACGTTCCTCTCCAGTTTTCCGGGACTGACACAGTTGGTGGTGAGGCTACAGGCCCCACCACCACTGCTTTTGTTGCCTTCCCTATTTTGTGATTGGCACTGGGTGTATTTACACATCTTCACCGGATCTTGGTGCCCTGTCTGAGTCTGCTTGGGATTCGGTGTCTGGCCTACCTCAACGACTGGCTGGTGTGGGCTCCCAGTCGGTCCGCTTGTCTGCTCGCCAGGGGTGTGGTTCTTTCCAGATCGCCAGGTTTGGTTTTCTGGCGATCTGGAGGCCGCTTTATCTGTTTCCGTCCTGGGTTTGGACCTGGCTGGGTCTTGTTTAGGGCTCTCAGGCTGCTCCTTGTCTTTCCCTCCAGAAGTGTTGCTGCAGCTGTGGTTCTGCCTTCGGCTGTTCATGAGGGGGTCCCGGGTTGCTCGGCAGTTGCTCGAGCAGTTGTGCGGGAGTCTGAACTTCGACGTGCTGGTCTGCCCGCGGGGTCGGGTTCGCCTTCAGCGTCTGTTTGGTTCCTTCGGAGACTTCCCTTTCGCTTCTCTTGCAATCGTTGGGTTCGTTCCTCCGGGGATCTTGTGTTGGTGCTGCGTCACCAGCTTCCTTTTTGTTTTTTGTTTTTGGTTCCGTGCCTTGGCCCCTCCCCGAGCCTTCGCTCGATGAGTTCACGGACGGGTCATATCTTGGCTGGGGCTTTGTGACTAGTGCTCACCAGGTCGGCAGGGGATGGTGGGGGCTGTCTGTCCGTCGGGCTCACAGCACGGTTTGGGAGTTCGTGGCTGTCTGGTTTGCGCTTCGGAGGGTTTGGGTCACTCGGTACTCTACCATTCAGCTCCATTCGGACTGTTCTCTGGTGGTTCCTTGCCGGAACCACAGGGTTTCTCTTAGGTGTTTGACCTTTGGGGTTGGTCCCTTAGAGTGGCTGGATTCTCGGGGTTTGGCTAAACGTGAGGTTCATGTCCGGGGTGTGTCTTGCGTCCTGGTGGACAGCTGTCTCGGTTCATTCCTCTGTTCGCGGATTGGCCAGTCGTCGCAGACTCGTTTCGTTGACTCTGCCAGACGTATGGACTCCTGGCCATGGACGTCTTCGAGTCAGTGTGGTCTAGGCGTTGGCTATTCTATGTGGCGATCTTACCCGCCTGTGAGGCATTCACAGTGGATGTATTTCGACAGGACTGGTTGAGGTAGGGGTACCTGTTCCTCTTCTCCCGGTCCAGCTGTTGCTCCGGGTTCTGGCTCGGTTGGAGCCCATTCCCTCAAGAGTAGTCCTTATGGTCCCTTAGTGGCTGGCCCAGCTTTATTTTCAGACGCTGTTTGATAGGTGTCCGAACCTGGGGCGTTTTGCCGTGGCACTGCCTCTTTCGGCAGGTCGGACCGGTCCTGTACGTGACTGGTTTGGCCTTCTCTTCGGCTCTTCGCGTCTGGTATTTTGACGCAGGTATCGCCATCTCTGTCGACGCCCTTGGTTAGGGCGTCAAGGTGTTGCACGACCTGCCACCTAAGCGGCGAATGGTTCCTGTTGCCTCTGGAGACAGTGTACTTTTGCAGGGTTTTTCTTTTGTTTTCATTTTCATTTGCCTGGTGGGGGTCTGCCCAGTGTGGCTATAATTCAACTGGTAGTGTTTGGTGGCTCTCTGCTAGGCCCCTGTAATTGTACACGTTGCAGGGGTTTTGAGTGTTGTCCTCTACCCCCTTGTTTTTTGGGGGATTTCTTAACCAGTTAGCAACACCTTGCCCGGTTTTCCCGTAGCAGTCAGCCTACGGGCCCTGGAAACCCCTGTCGGGGCTCGGTGGACCATTGAATGTGTCTTCCCGGTTCCAACCCGTCTTGTACAGGATCGTTGGTTGCTGTGCCCTTGTCTCCAGGTGACAGTCGCCACTTTTATCTCCGTCATGCTGCCTGTTGGGTCACTGACACCTTGACCCAGAGTCTTGCGAGAGAGATTCTCTGCTTGTTCTCCAGTACTCTCCTGATATTATTACTATTCAGAGTACAGACGGCATCCATGTTGCAAGCTAGGTTAGGTTGCTGCAACACGCTAGGTTGGTTTCCTACTCGGATGCCCCGGGGCCGCCCCGTTTTGGTTAGATACTGTTCACATCTTTCCCTCCCTGTTCCCGGCTCCGGACCGTCTGCAGGTTTCGGGGTCGGGGCGGGGTTTAGTTGGGGCCGAGACTCGGGTGGTTTTCGGGGGCTGCTCTCTTCAGGTTGGGGACGGAGGTTTTCGAGCCTGTTCCCCCTGCCAAGGCTTTTGGGTCTTACCAGCGGCCCTTTCTTGCTGCCATTCCCATGGATGCTTCCTTTTCTTTAAGGGCGGAGGGCTTGGAGGACGGCTCTGCCCCAGGGCCTCTGTTCCAGGGGCTGTGGGGGGATGCCTGCTAGTAGTTCTGGGGCGGTTGGCCCCCTGCTTGGGTTTTCTGCTTCTGGGCAGAGTTTTTCGCCCATCCAGTCTGTTCTCGCTCTTTCGTATAGTCAATATTGACTTATTAAATATGTGCATATGTGACATACTAATTTATTGTGAATATTTTAGTTTACCTTGAAAAGCTTCATAGAAAACACCGACCTTACCTAACCTTCTTAGTATGTTAAGATAAGCATCTTATTGCTTCGTAATTACAATTATTAACCTATTATAGGTATAGGTTAAGTAATAATTGTAATTACGAAGCAATAAGATGCTTATCTTAACATACTAAGAAGGTTAGGTACGGTCGGGGTTTTCTATGAAGCTTTTCAAGGTAAACTAAAATATTCACAATAAATTAGTATGTCACATATGCACTTATTTAATAAGTCAATATTGACTGTAAGAAAGTGCGAGAACAGGTTGCTCGTTCATTGTCTACATAAACGATCTACCAGTTGGAGTACAGAATTATATTAACATGTTTGCTGATGATGCTAAGATAATAGGGAAGATAAGAAACCTAGATGATTGTCATGCCCTTCATGAAGACCTGGACAAAATAAGTATATGGAGCAACACTTGGCAAATGGAATTTAATGTGAATAAATGCCATGTTATGGAATGTGGAATTGGAGAACATAGACCCCACACAACCTATAAATTATGTGAGAAATCTTTAAAGAATTATGACAAAGAAAGGGATCTAGGGGTGGTTCTAGATAGAAAACTGTCACCTGATGACCACATTAAGAACATTGTGGAGGAGCCTATACTACACTTTCTAACTTCAGAATTGCTTTGAAATACATGGATGGAGAACTACTAAAGAAATTGTTCACGAGTTTTGTTAGATCAAAGCTAGAATATGCAGCGGTTGTGTGGTGCCCATATCTTAAGAAGCACATCAACAAACTGGAAAAGGTGCAACGACATGCCACTAAGTGGCTCTCAGAACTGAAGGACAAAAACTACGAGGAGAGGTTAGAGGTATTAAATATGCAAAAACTAGAAGATAGAAGAAAAAGAGGCGATATGATCTCTACGTACAAAATAATAACAGGAATCTATAAAGTCAATAGGGGAGAATTCCTGAGATCCAGAACTTCAAGAAGAAGAGGTCATAGATTTAAAAACTAACGAAACAAAGCTGCAAGAGGAATATAAGAAAATTCACTTTTGCAAACAGAGTGGTAGACGATTGGAACAAGTTAGGTGAGAAGGTGGTGGAGGCCAAAACCGTCAGTAGTTTCAAAGCGTTATATGACAAAGAGTGCTGGGTAGACGGGACACCACGAGCGTAGCTCTCATCCTGTAACTACATTTAAGACCTGGCTCATGCTGGACTGCAGTGGAAGAAAAAGTCACTAACCTTACAACTTACCTGAATAACAGAACATCGGAGCCAGTATAGAAGAAAGGTATCCTTGTAACCTCTATATTAGCACTAGAACCGAGCTTGGGCATACCGGCTGGCGGTGGGCTACCTACCCTCTTCCCTCAAACGAATGGGGGAGGAGGGATGAACCAGCTTGTGTTACTGTAGTTTCAAGAAAATTATATCATTTATTTACATAGTTGGGCGAGTTATTTCAGCCAATTTTGAGGCTTTGGTCTTTTGAATCTAGCAGTAGTTTGTTTTGACACACTGACTTTCTGGTTGCCTTCCTTGGTGAGGTGGGCAAAATAAATATCACCGCTCCCTGTGCCTCTGTGAGAGGGGCTGGTTTCTGGCTCCGGCCCTTGGTAGGCCTCTAAACTCTATGGCTGATGTGATCCAGTAAGCTAGATGGTAACCATCTCAGCATTTTGTGGCTTCAGGGAACCACAAGAGGTTGGCACTCCCCTCTTCCTCCTCCTCCTCACAGAAAATTGATGTAGTGATAATAATCATAATCCAGTAATATAATAATAATTGATTTACAAGAAGGTACAATGGGTTTGTGAGATTACATAATATTGGAACTTTTACATTCTTGCAAAGCCACTTAACACTCATAGCATATCAGATGTACTGTATAACAATGTTAAACATAATACAAGAGAGATTATTGGGAACATTCTTTGGTATTAAGACATGGGTATAGAAATTTTGGTAAACTATACTATATTATTTAAGAAATCTTTATACTGTTTTATAAAAGTGCTGCAAATTTAAGTCAATATATACAAAGCCATTCTTAAAATATTACATAAGTACAACTTTAAAAATAGTGAAAACTAAGTCTATAAACTACAGTACCTGAATTTGGGAACATCTTGGTCGAGATGCTTGTGGTCCATTGTGTCCATGACCACAGTGTTGATGATAGTCTTCAAGTCAGTCACATTCATGACCATTCCTGTCACAGCATCTACTGGTCCACACACAGTCACCTCCACTGTAAAGATCCATCATCATATCTTGAAAAACTAATTTATAAGAATATAGTGTTACAAGATTTGCTCAAGTTTCAAATGGTATTTCTCAAACTTCATAAAGTAAAATACTTGTGAAAATGTTCATTATCTTTGATAGTTGAAGTTCGCTTAAAAAAAAACAACGTTGAATGTAATGGAACACCATTTTCTGGGCGAGTCCCGGAAACTCCCCGGAGCTGTCCAGGCTGAATGGATATGTATAACTTTCTGGCATCAGTCAATGTGCACGGAATTGTTGCCTACTGGAGACCACAAGCCAGAACCTGGCCCCATCAAGAGAGGCATGAGAGGCAATGGCCTATAGAAACGCCTGTGTGGTTCGGAGCATTCTATGTCTGCCATCGACTGGATCTGGCACCCAGAGAGGAAGGCACCTCAAAACAAACCCCCTATTCTGGTGAAACTATTGCTACCGATAGTCGAACGCGTGGCCAGAACTCCCCAAATGAAAATTAACAAACGAGGCTTCGGAGATTGCCCCTTCCGGATTGGCGGCAGAGGCATTTGAGCCTGGTCCTCCTGCCGGAACTTTTGGGCCACGCCAGCGAGCCCCCTTCATCCCTGCTTTTCCAGTGGACTCTGCTCTTTCTCCAAAGGCAGAGGGGTTGGAGGACAGCTCAGCCCCGGGTCCTGACATGGAGTATTCCGGGGCTGGGGACGAGTTGACTTGGGGGGGGGGGGGGGACCCTGGGCCCCTCTGGTCCCTGATTGGGTGTTTGGTACCCTCGTTGCGGGGCTTCTTGTTACAGGGGGAGGAGTTTTCCTTTCTCCCTCCCTATACAATTTTGTTATGAGTTCGACTCCTCCCCGGGTTAGGGTCCGGGTTCCCTTGGGTTCCCTCTTTCTGGAGGTTTTTGGCTTCCCGCATCCCACCGAGGAAGGTGTGGGAGGCCCCTTGAAGCTTACCTCCTGCAAGACCCGGATTACGCCTCGATAATGAAGTCTTTTTGAGATTGGCTCCTCTTTTTCTTTTTGGGTGTGTTACAAGGTGCCGGAGTCTTCCTGGCTGGCAGACTGCCTTTTCTTCTATGGGGGGATTGGCATTCGTCCTGTCGGAATGCGCACTTGAATGGCGAGAGTTGCCTACGGTCATTCAGGTTTTCCTGCGGGCGAGATGGAGCACCTCAAGGCGTGCTTGTTTGCTCCCATCCTTCCTTATGATGTCGGCCAAGTGCGGCTTCACGTGCAGGTTCCCTTCCTTTCGGCATCCCTAGTGGCCAAAGATTTGTGCGCCCGTGGGCACTTGGCTTTGGTCTTGCACTTCTTTTCCCTGCTGGAGCTGTCTTCAGACTGTCTTGTGTTGGGTGTGGAGGAGTTGGATTCTGGGCCAGGGTCCAGTGTGCTTGCTTCGGCAGCTCGGGCGTCGCCGTTTATGAGGGAGGCGGTGTCTCTTCTTCGCTTCTCGCCTCGCGTGCTGACAGGCGGTGCTCATCCAAATTTTGGGTTCATCTTGGGCCCTGGCTCTTAGATTTTCATGCCCTTTTTCTCCGTTGCTGTTTGCAGTCTGCGGTGGTGCATTTTCTGCAGGCAGCTTCGTCCAGTTGACGGCCTTTGTTGAATTTGTTGGCTCTCTGGGGGGGAGGGGGGGGGAGGGGGGGAGGGGGGGGGGAGGGGGGGGAGGGGGGTTCACAAAATGGCACGAAAGTATCTCTTCGTGCCAAGTCTCAGGGTTCCTTCGATCGTCGTAAGCCAGTAGTGCCAGATTCGGGGCAGGCACCTCCCCTAGAGCCGTCGGCATCTGTTCGGTGCAGTGATCGCTCTTAGTGTCGGTTGGGCTTTCGTAGGGGTCGCCGGCCCTTTCGCGGGTTACCCTGTTGACAGGGCGATAGGAGGGGAAGGCTCACACTGTTTGCTCTCGCCTGATCCCACGATTCTTTGGCATTTTTGGCTGGTGTGGGCTCCAAGCCAGACCACATGTTTGCTCGCCAGGGATATGGTTCTTTCCCAGCTCGCCAGGTTCATGGTGAACTGGAGGAAGTCCCTTTTATTTCCCTCTCAGGTTCGGATTGGGTTTGGTGTGGGACTCTCAAACTGCTTCCTTGTCTCTCCCTCCAGCGACGCTGTTGTGGCTGCGGTCCCGCCTCCAGCTGTTTTTGGAGGGCACCCGGATCACACGTCGGTTGTTTGAGTGGCTGTGCGGGAGCCTGAACTTCGCCGTGCTGGTCTACCCATCAGGCCGATCTGGCTTCGCCGGATGTTCTGGTTTCTTCGGGGTACGAGCACCCAGAGGTGGATCTATTCGCATCAGCGTGGTCGAGACGTCTTCCAGTTTATGTTGCACCCTTCCCAGATTGCGAGGCTGTCGGTGTCGACGCTTTTCGGCTGGACTGGTCGAGGCGGAGTTACCTGTACCTCTTCCCTCCAGTCAGTTTGTTACTCCGGATCCTGGCTCGGTAGGAGACTTACCAAGGGAGAGTAGTCCTGTTGGCTCTTTGGTGGTCCGGTCACCTTGGTTTCAGGCGCTTCTTGCTCGATGTTCGAACCCGAGGGTCTTCCCGCTGCTCCGCCTCTTTCAGCAGATCGGTCCGGTCCGTTACGTGGCTGGTTCAATCTTTTCCACTACTCTTCGCATCTGGTCTTTTTGACGTGGGTGTATCACCACTTGTATGATGATCAGGTGGCTTAGTTGATGGTGTCCCACCTGCGAGTTTCGTTTAGACAGCAGTATGAAATTTCCTGGCGGTCATTTCGGCAATTTCTGTCTCGTCGTAGGTTGTTTTCAATTCTGGTCGGGTTGTTTTGTCCTTTCTCAGTTGTTTCAGGACCATAATCTTGTGCCAAATACTGTCGCCTCGTTTCATGCAGCGCTGGCGGAGCCGCTGCAGCTTGCTTTCGGGGTGGATGTCACTTCTGCTTCGTTCCGCAAGCTTTCTCAGGCGTTGTTTCACCTCCGGCCTGCTCATGCGCCGCCTGAACCGTCCTGGTCGTTGGACTGGGTGCTCTCTTTTCTCTCTCTTCTCCTCGGTTTGTGGTGGCCTCCCTCGGTTCAGGACTGTTTTTCTAAGGCTCTTTTCTTGTTGGAATTGGCCTCTGGGGGTCGGGTCGGGGAGCTTCATGCTCTCCTCCAGCGCAGGGGTTTCTGCTCTTTCGGACCTGGTGGTCGTTTCATTCGTTTGTAGCCTTCTCCTTTTCTAGTGAAGAATCACTCTGCTGCTTTCCGAAGGGGTCCTTGGGTTGTTGATGCTTTGTTGGTTCGGCCAGGGGTAATTACCCAAGTGTAGTTACAGGATGAGAGCTACGCTCGTGATGTCCCGTCTACCCAGCACTCTCATATAACGCTTTGACATTACAGTACTGACGGTTTTGGCCTCCACCACCTTCTCACCTAACTTCTTCCAACCATCTACCACTGTTTACAAAAGTGAATTTTCTTATATTTCTCCGGCAACTTTGTTTCGTTAGTTTAAATCTATGACCTCTTATTCTTGAAGATCCGGGTCTCAGGAATTCATCCCTATCAATTTTATCGATTCCTGTTACTAATTTGAACGTAGTGATCATATTGCCTCTTTCTTCCATCTTCTAGTTTTTGCATATTTAATGCCTCTAACCTCGCCTCATAGCTCTTGAGTTCTAGGAGCCACTTAGTGGCAAGTCGTTGCATCTTTTCCAGTTTGTTGATGTGCTTGCATCATGTTTTGTGTCCAGTTGCGGCTCTTTGCCAGTATCTGCGCGCCATGGCCTCCGTGGCATGGGACACACTTTGGGTGGACCCAGTTCCCTTCTTCCCTGTTACAAGGCGCGGGTCTCCCAGGTTGTCCACAGGATTATTTGGTCCAGCCAGCCTGCGGTCTATCCCAGTGCCCACGACGTTCATCGAGGCTTTGGCTGCTGTTTTTGGGAATATGTCCTGGGCTGACATTCGGACATGAGGCTTTTGCAGGTCGAACAGGTTCCTGGCTGCACGGTATCTCGTTAATGTTCCTGGGCCTTCTCAGGAGTGTGTAGCCTTGGGTCGCAGTTTGCAGCCATTTGTCTCTACTTCGAGTTGAGGAGCGAGTGACGACCGCCTCCCGGGTAAGTCCCTCTTTTTCTTTATCTTTGGTTAGGTAGCTTCAGGGGGCTGAAGGAGATCTCCACAGAAAACTAGCATTGAATGTAATGAAACGCCAATTTCTGGGTGAGACCCGGAGGCTTCCCTCCCTCCCTCCGGTCAGTGGTTTCTCGCGTTTTTGATACTCAGCCTCTGAACCGAGGAGAGTTGCTGGCGTGGAGGTCTGGGACGCCCCCGTCCCCCTCCCAGGGAGGGGGGGATTGCGCAGATGGATGCACGGCATTTCTGGTGACGTCATACTTGTTTCCTTGGTTTTGATTAGAGAGTTCGGTTGCTAGTTCAGCTGTCGGTTTGCAATTTATTTGATCAGCAGTAGTTTGTTTTGGAATTCCTACCTTTCTGAGTGCCTGACCTGGTAGATGGCAAAGACTGCTTCCAATTACACAGAGATGTCTTTAGGCCATTGCTCCTTGTGCCTCTCTTGAGGGGGGCCAAGTTCTGGCTCTGGTCTCCGGTAGGCCTGGAACTCTTTCGATTGACTCTTGCCACGGTCTAATATACACATCAGCCCGGTATTAGCTCCGGGTCTCGCCCAGAAAATGGCGTTTCATTACATTCAATGCTGTTTTTTGGGGGAACTATGACTACTGTATGTGGCAAGATGACGGCCCCGAAACCCCCACCAGAAAAGCCAAGCCGATGCCAACAAAGCAGCTACCTAATAAAGGCCAGAAGGAGAAGGAAGGACCGCCAAAATACCCCATACTGCCGCCAAGAAGAAGCACGCAGGTGAGACACCAACAACGAAGCCACCTGACCACCAACCGAAGGTGAGAGACTCTAGTCAGAACCTAACCGGTCCCATAAAGGTTCATCTGAGCCTAGGAAGAGGCAGAGCCGCGGGAAGATCTCGGGCGCGACCACCGAGGAAGCAGAGCCAGAAACCCAATCCACTCACGAGGGCGAAGCAGGGGATACTGTACCACCAAACACAAACAATCCTAATATAAAGGGGGGAAAGGAACACCAAGGTAGACCCCTACCAGGGAAAAATAGAGAAGAAAACCCTCGTAAGAAGACAGCGTACCCAGAGGGAACACAGCCGGCTGCTGTTATAGGTGAAAACTAGCTATGCAGTACCCCGCACCTCTACCAGTGCAATAACTACCACTTACCCCAAGGCAAACTAGGGAGGAAACCCCCCAAAACACTCGGGGCGGTCAATCGCCAAGCAGCAAAAGACCAACAGAGGTAGACCCAAGGTGACTTGTGGCAGGGAACCCCAAGCCCCAAGGGTGGTAACAGGGCACTCAGGAAAGGTGACCCTAAGCACATGCAGCCCGAGTACCTGTGAATATTATTCCCAGCTCGCACACAACTAAGTGCAGTACAGTACTGAACAGAGGACAACACAACAAAAGTCCGGAGCTGGAACCACAATGATTAAGCCGTATCTCCGCTGGCACGGAGGTTTGGGGCTCCCCATTCCCCCTTCCGGGGAGGGGGGAGCTACGCAGACATGCGGCATGGCTCATGTGACGTCATGCTTGTTTGCTTGTTTTCAATTGGGGAGTTCTGTCCACTCGTTTGTCTATTTTCGTCGTTTTTAACCAGAATAGGGGTTTGTTTTGGGGCGCTTACTTTTCTGGGTGCCTGTCCCGGTCGATGGCAGATATTGAATGCTCCAAAAATCACATGTGCATTTCTATGGGCCATTGCTCCTCATGCCTCTCTGAGGGGGGCCAGGTTCTGGTCGTGATCCCTGGTAGGCCTAGAACTCCACCCACATCAAATGATGCCAAACGTTAGGGTATTCTTATCAGCCTGGATAGCTCCGGGTAGCTGTAGGGGCTCCCCCAGAAACCCCTACAGAAATGGTTTCCCGAATGCACCAGGAGCCCCGGTACTCTTGAGGACAAGAGTACCGGGGCTGCACACACACACATCACCACAGAGATCACCACGAAGGCAAAACACCGCTTTGGAATTCGAGGCGAGAGAAGACGTCCGCCCTGAACCATCTCTGGGGCCAGGTTTTGGCTCGTGGTCCCAGGTAGGCTGAACTCCATAAACTAATTTCCCGGTGTAATATATCACACATTAGCCCGATAGCTCCAGGGAGCTGAAGAGGCTCCCCACAGAAAAACCATTTAAAGACATATAATTATATAAAAATTGTATTTACAGCAACTCCCACCACACTGGTGGGCGAGCACTCTGCTACTGGCCAATACTCTGTCAGTGCCTGTATAATGTCAGCTTTCCTTGCTCTATCTTCTTAAAGTGAGACATACAATATTTGTTTTAATTTCCTGTGATCACAGAACTCTTTTTAATAATACAAGAAAAACTTAATTTTGGGGGAATCATTTTTGTCTGCACACCTGGGCTCATTATATTTAATAGTGGGACAGGAGTGGAGGTTAAGGCTGCAGTCTACCTTAGTTTCTGCTCTTCAAGAGTACTATAAACTTTAACAGGTACAAATCTACTGTATATTGTGACAGGTTGTGGTATCGCAGCTATACTGAACCAAGGTGGTATGGCTCTCCCTCACATAAATAACAAAAATGCTGCTATTGGCCCTTGCAGTGTGTACATCGCAGGTGGAAACAAATAAAAATCATCAAATAAATAATTAAAACAATTAACTGAAATATTAATGAACAAAAATGACACCTGAAAACACTTGGTGATCATGTAATGCAAAGGTGGACAAGATAATATGAAAATTAATACAAAAGTAAACTAAGAAATTCAATGAATACAAAGCATGAAGATATACTGGTGTACTGAACACAGCTACCATACCACCACAGCATCAGACACATGGCGTTGGCCGAGAGCAAAAGACAGGTGAGAGAGACCAAGGTGATCCAAGAGCACTAAGAGAGAAACTGGCTCTCCAGGGAGGCAGCGCCCTTTATCTAGTCCAGCGGTGATAACTCATCCGGTGTCAACACAAGGTGGACATCTGGTCAACTAGCAAACTGCTCCTTTGTGGCTGGCAGTGCCCTTGTGTTGAGCTCCACCACTGCCAGTTGAAGGTGGCTAACTGCTTGTTTGTGAAGGCAAACTACTGGTTAGTAGAGGCACCCGGCTTATCTCCGAGTCATACCAGGCCGTGCCAGGCCCTGGGGGGTACAGAGAGGTGGCAGGACTGATGACTCATCTTGGCTGGTGAAGAGGTAGATTTCTAGTACAGAGGCATTGAAAGTGAAGGGAAAAGGCAGTTCCACTGCTGTGCAGGGGATTCACGCGACAATATAAAAACAAAGGAAAATACTGGGACCCTGACCTTTGTAGTTATGTCCGTGGCCATTAGGGTTGTTGCATTTGCCAAAGATCTTCATGTTCTCAGCATCGCTCAGTAGTTTGCTGGTGAAGGAGAAATGTTTATCTATTAGCATTTGAAAACATTTTATTTCAATAAAAAACAAATTTATTTAGGCTTTGATACTAAATGAGCCAAGAAAATAGCTATTATTATTAACCTACACAATATTAACTTATTATTAACCTATACAGTTATATCAAAAGTGCCACTTAACACGTATGTGAAAATCCCCAGCATTGAATGTAATGAAACTCCATTTTCTGGGGAGCCCCGGAGGCTACCCGAAGCTTTCCAAACTAATGTGCTATATTAGTTTGGCATCATCAGTCACAGAAGTCCTTTTGCCTACCAGGGACCATAAGCCAGAACCTGGCCCCCCTCAGAGAGACAGGGAGCAATGGCCTATGAGCACTTTACATTTAAAGTACTGTATGTCATAATTGCCATCGACTGGGGAGGACATCCAGAAAGATAGGTGAAACAAAACAGACTTCATTCTAATGAAAATAGTGACCAACATCTGAAAAGAGCAAAAGAACTCCCCCAGACAGAAAAAAAACAAGCAACACTTCAAGCAAAACATTGAGCCGGCAACCCACCACCCCAGTTCTTGAACGATGAAAACTACCGATCAGAGGGGAGTGGGTGTCAGGGGGGCGTCCGGGACTCGCCCAGAAAATAGCATTTCATTATATTCAACGCTGGTTTTCTGTGGGAAGCCCCGTTTGCTCCCTGAAGCTAACTACCCACATATAAGTAAAAAACAGGTACTTACACGAGAGGTGGCAGCACTGCAGGTCTCGGGCAAAGTAAAGACTGACGGCTGCAACAGGCTCCCCAACGCAACACAAGGCCATAGAGGGGACCGGAACGTTCACGAGATATCTGGCGGCCAGGACCCTGTTCAACCTTCTAAACCCCCGCATCTGAATTTCGACCCAAGACATACAGGGGTACCCCTGTTTAAGAGTTTAATCCGTTCCCGAGACAGCTCATAACCCGAAAACTCGTAAACCGAAGCTAATTTCCCCATAAGAAATAATGGGAAATGAATTAATCCACTCCTGACTACCCAAAAACCTCACTTCAAACTAAATTTTATACCTAATTCATCCAAATCTACACTACAAAAGTATGTTCAAGTTATTACTTACCCTTGCTGATGACTCCTGTTGACGTATGGAAGATGGTGAGGAGGGGGGAGGAGGAGAGGTGTTACTGTTTGGAAGGGGAGTCCCCTTCGATTATAACATCAGGCAGTAAAGGTTTCTCTGGAGTGCACACACTGGCATGTTTTGCCTGCATACCACTAGGTCCTGGTTATGGTTCACTGCTTGATTTTCTCGCCCCCCCCCCCACCTCCTTCACCAGCAACCTGGCTGCCCCCATCACCTTCACTAGCTGCCCGGCTGCCCCCCCCCCCACCTCCTTCACCAGCAACCTGGCTGCCCCCATCACCTTCACTAGCTGCCCGGCTGCCCCCCCCCCCATCTCCTTCACCAGCAGCCTGGCTGCCCCCCCCCCCATCTCCTTCACCAGCAGCCTGGCTGCCCCCCCCCCCATCTCCTTCACCAGCAGCCTGGCTGCCCCCATCTCCTTCACCAGCAGCCTGGCTGCCCCCCCCCCCCCGTCTCCTTCACCAGCAGCCTGGCTGCCCCCCCCCATCTCCTTCACCAGCAGCCTGGCTGCCCCCCCCCCCATCTCCTTCACCAGCAGCCTAGCTGCCCCCATCTCCTTCACCAGCAGCCTGGCTGACCCCATCTCCTTCACCAGCAGCCTGGCTGCCCCCATCTCCTTCACCAGCAGCCCGGCTGCCCCCATCACCTTCACTAGCTGCCCGGCTGCCCCCCCCCCCCCCCCCATCTCCTTCACCAGCAGCCTGGCTGCCCCCCCCCCCATCTCCTTCACCGGCAGCCTGGCTGCCCCCCCCCCATCTTCACCAGCAGCCTGGCTGCCCCCCCCCCCATCTCCTTCACCAGCAGCCTGGCTGTTCCCATCGCCTTCACTAGCTGCCCGGCTGCCCCCCCCCATCTCCTTCACCAGCAGCCTGGCTGCCCCCCCCCCCATCTCCTTCACCAGCAGCCTGGCTGCCCCCCCCCCCCATCTCCTTCACCAGCAGCCTGGCTGCCCCCCCCCCCCCCTCTCCTTCACCAGCAGCCTGGCTGCCCCCATCGCCTTCACTAGCTGCCCGGCTGCCCCCCCCCATCTCCTTCACCAGCTGCCTGGCTGCCCCCATCGCCTTCACTAGCTGCCTGGCTGCCCCCCCCCCCATCTCCTTCACCAGCAGCCTGGCTGCCCCCATCGCCTTCACTAGCTGCCTGGCTTCCCCCCCCCCCATCTCCTTCACCGGCAGCCTGGCTGCCCCCATCGCCTTCACTAGCTGCCTGGCTGCCCCCCCCCCCCATCTCCTTCACCAGCTGCCTGGCTGCCCCCCCCCCATCTCCTTCACCAGCAGCCTGGCTGCCCCCCCCCCCATCTCCTTCACCAGCAGCCTGGCTGCCCCCATCGCCTTCACTAGCTGCCTGGCTCCCCCCCCCCCCATCTCCTTCACCAGCTGCCTGGCTGCCCCCCCCCCCATCTCCTTCACCAGCTGCCTGGCTGCCCCCCCCCCATCTCCTTCACCAGCTGCCTGGCTGCCCCCATCGCCTTCACTAGCTGCCTGGCTGCCCCCATCTCCTTCACCAGCAGCCTGGCTGCCCCCCCCCCCCATCTCCTTCACCAGCTGCCTGGCTGCCCCCCCCCCCCATCTCCTTCACCAGCTGCCTGGCTGCCCCCCCCCCATCTCCTTCACCAGCAGCCTGGCTGCCCCCATCGCCTTCACTAGCTGCCTGGCTGCCCCCCCCCCATCTCCTTCACCAGCTGCCTGGCTGCCCCCATCGCCTTCACTAGCTGCCTGGCTGCCCCCCCCCCCATCTCCTTCACCAGCAGCCTGGCTGCCCCCATCTCCTTCACCAGCAGCCTGGCTGCCCCCCCCCCCATCTCCTTCACCAGCTGCCTGGCTGCCCCCCCCCCATCTCCTTCACCAGCAGCCTGGCTGCCCCCATCGCCTTCACTAGCTGCCTGGCTGCCCCCCCCCCATCTCCTTCACCAGCTGCCTGGCTGCCCCCATCGCCTTCACTAGCTGCCTGGCTGCCCCCCCCCCCATCTCCTTCACCAGCAGCCTGGCTGCCCCCATCGCCTTCACTAGCTGCCCCCCCCCCCCATCTCCTTCACCAGCAGCCTGGCTGCCCCCATCGCCTTCACTAGCTGCCTGGCTGCCCCCCCCCCATCTCCTTCACCAGCAGCCTGGCTGCCCCCATCTCCTTCACCAGCAGCCTGGCTGCCCCCCCCCCCATCTCCTTCACCAGCAGCCTGGCTGCCCCCATCGCCTTCACTAGCTGCCCCCCCCCCCCATCTCCTTCACCAGCAGCCTGGCTGCCCCCATCGCCTTCACTAGCTGCCCGGCTGCCCTCCCCCCATCTCCTTCACCAGCAGCCTGGCTGCCCCCATCGCCTTCACTAGCTGCCCGGCTGCCCCCCCCCCCATCTCCTTCACCAGCAGCCTGGCTGCCCCCATCGCCTTCACTAGCAGCTCAACTGCCCCTATTGCTGCAGTAGCACCCCAACTGGCCACACCACTGCCCTTGCTGGTAGCGGTATGTCAGTCTCTACTGCTGTGTGATGCTGGGCTGTTAATATGTAGAGGAATTTAATCCTCTACATATTTGATCATATACACTGGCTGCCTGTGTTGGGGAACAGGCAGCTAGTTTATATAATTAATTCAACAGGCTGCCAGTTTATATTATTAATTCATTATTTCATTGCTGTATTTATACTGTCTGTTAGGCTTGTATCGACCATCCTCAGGATGCAACCTCGCAACAAGCTGGCCGACTGGGTACCTACTTACTGCTAGGTGAACAGGGAAATTAGATAACGGGAAATGCATTCTGTTACGACTCTGGGTTCCTCAGTGGAAACCAGAGGTCAAAATTTAGCTAAATAAACTACCTTATAGTATTGGGGACGCATGGCGAGGTGCATTTGTCGTATCTTCCCTGCCAGACGTAAGACGATTCTCGTTTCTCACAGCATGTAAAGACTGAGCTTGGAGTTGATTATTAAATAATAAAATAGGCATCAACTATGTTTACTAATACTTTCTAATCATTTGTAAAGTAAACCTGAGTAAACTTGGGATACGAATGCTGTACGATTAGTTGAGTAGTCTGCTGACAGTGAGTGAACTGAGGGAGAGTGGAGACGCTCCTCCTTCTCTGACTGGCGTTCGTGGGGGTCAAGACCTTTCTGAGCTGCTCTGCACTCCTCTACCTTTCCTCTTATTTTCCTTACCTTAAGTTCCTGTACCATTAAGTTAAGTCCTGTGTTTTTTAAGTGTGCCTACTCTGGGTTTGTAAGATTGGTGGAGACCTTGGGGTAGTATTTGCCAGTGTTTTGGGTACCCATTAGTGTTGTGTTGTGTTAAGGTACCACGTGGGCTCACTACCCCTAAGCTGCCCAAGCTTCAAGTGCTTCACTAGTAGTACTTTACCCTAGCTTGTTCTCAGTGTAAACCTTGTATCCTGCTTATGTGAACCAAGGCTTTTAACGTAAGATAGTGTGGTAAAGTAATTATTATTATTGTTATTGGTGAGAATGTATATGGGGGGTTGTTAAGGGATTAATAAATAAGTAAGTTAGTTAGTGTATCCATTTTTCCTGTGTAGATCTATGATCAACCTCTAAACTGACATTATCTTGTAGCCAATTAATATTCACTGTGGATATTTTATTTTGGGAGCCGGGCCTTTTAGATCTCCCATATTTGATAACTCTTAATGCTAACTACTGCCCCTACATCCATTTATACTAGATCCCCCATAGTACAGCCCACCATTTATAACACATTCAAACATTTCAGTCGCCATCTATTATTCGATTCTGAATTCATGATCGACTCACCAACGAACCCAAACAATTATTATTTTAAAAACAGTATATAAATCAGGAGTGATACTATTGGATCTACATAAAACCTGCCTTGCATATACACTTCTTAAACTATTTCATCTCTTGTGGAGCAAATGTACATGCCAGACAGGTAAACAGCCACCCACTGTACACACCCGGCAGGTTAAACAGCCACCCACTGTACACACCCGGCAGGTTAAACAGCCACCCACTGTACACACCCGGCAGGTTAAACAGCCACCCACTGTACACACCCGACAGGTTAAACAGCCACCCACTGTACACACCCGACAGGTTAAACAGCCACCCACTGTACAACTGTCAGGTAAACAGCCACCCGCTGTACACACCCAAGAGGTTAAACAGACACCCGCTGTACACACCCGGCAGGTTAAACAGACATCCGCTGTACACACCCGGCAGGTTAAACAGCCACCCGCTGTACACACCCGGCAGGTTAAACAGCCACCCGCTGTACACACCCGACAGGTTAAACAGCCACCCGCTGTACAACTGTCAGGTAAACAGACACCCGCTGTACACACCCGGCAGGTTAAACAGCCACCCGCTGTACACACCCGGCAGGTTAAACAGCCACCCGCTGTACACACCCGGCAGGTTAAACAGCCACCCGCTGTCCACACCCGGCAGGTTAAACAGCCACCCGCTGTCCACACCCGGCAGGTTAAACAGCCACCCGCTGTCCACACCCGGCAGGTTAAACAGCCACCCGCTGTCCACACCCGGCAGGCTAAACAGCCCCCCCTGTCCACACCCGGCAGGCTAAACAGCCCCCCCACTGTCCACACCCGGCAGGCTAAACAGCCCCCCCACTGTCCACACCCGGCAGGCTAAACAGCCCCCCCCCCCACTGTCCACACCCGGCAGGCTAAACAGCCCCCCCCCACTGTCCACACCCGGCAGGCTAAACAGCCCCCCCCCCCCCCCACTGTCCACACCTGACAGGCTAAACAGCCCCCCCCCCACTGTCCACACCTGGCAGGCTAAACAGCCCTCCACTGTCCACACCTGGCAGGCTAAACAGCCCCCCACTGTCCACACCTGGCAGGCTAAACAGCCCCCCCACTGTCCACACCTGGCAGGCTAAACAGCCCCCCCACTGTCCACACCTGGCAGGCTAAACAGCCCCCCCACTGTCCACACCTGGCAGGCTAAACAGCCCCCCCCACTGTCCACACCTGGCAGGCTAAACAGCCACCCACTGTCCACACCTGGCAGGCTAAACAGCCCCCCCACTGTCCACACCTGGCAGGCTAAACAGCCACCCACTGTACACACCTGACAGGCTAAACAGCCACCCACTGTACACACCTGACAGGCTAAACAGCCACCCACTGTACACACCTGACAGGCTAAACAGCCACCCACTGTACACACCTGACAGGCTAAACAGCCACCCACTGTACACACCTGACAGGCTAAACAGCCACCCACTGTACACACCTGACAGGCTAAACAGCCACCCACTGTACACACCTGACAGGCTAAACAGCCACCCACTGTACACACCTGACAGGCTAAACAGCCACCCACTGTACACACCTGACAGGCTAAACAGCCACCCACTGTACACACCTGACAGGCTAAACAGCCACCCACTGTACACACCTGACAGGCTAAACAGCCACCCACTGTACACACCTGACAGGCTAAACAGCCACCCACTGTACACACCTGACAGGCTAAACAGCCACCCACTGTACACACCTGACAGGCTAAACAGCCACCCACTGTACACACCTGACAGGCTAAACAGCCACCCACTGTACACACCTGACAGGCTAAACAGCCACCCACTGTACACACCTGACAGGCTAAACAGCCACCCACTGTACACACCTGACAGGCTAAACAGCCACCCACTGTACACACCTGACAGGCTAAACAGCCACCCACTGTACACACCTGACCGGCTAAACAGCCACCCACTGTACACACCTGACAGGCTAAACAGCCACCCACTGAACACACCTGACAAGCTAAACAGCCACCCACTGAACACACCTGACAGGCTAAACAGCCACCCACTGTACACACATGACATGCTAAACAGCCACCCACTGTACACACCTGACAGGCTAAACAGCCACCCACTGTACACACCTGACAGGCTAAACAGCCACCCACTGAACACACCTGACAGGCTAAACAGCCACCCACTGTACACACCTGACAGGCTAAACAGCCACACACTGTACACACCTGACAGGCTAAACAGCCACCCACTGTACACACCTGACAGGCTAAACAGCCACCCACTGTACACACCTGACAGGCTAAACAGCCACCCACTGTACACACCTGACAGGCTAAACAGCCACCCACTGTACACACCTGACAGGCTAAACAGCCACCCACTGTACACACCTGACAGGCTAAACAGCCACCCACTGTACACACCTGACAGGCTAAACAGCCACCCACTGTACACACCTGACAGGCTAAACAGCCACCCACTGTACACACCTGACAGGCTAAACAGCCACCCACTGTACACACCTGACAGGCTAAACAGCCACCCACTGTACACACCTGACAGGCTAAACAGCCACCCACTGTACACACCTGACAGGCTAAACAGCCACCCACTGTACACACCTGACAGGCTAAACAGCCACCAACTGTACACACCTGACAGGCTAAACAGCCACCAACTGTACACACCTGACAGGCTAAACAGCCACCAACTGTACACACCTGACAGGCTAAACAGCCATCAACTGTACTCACCTGACAGGTAAACAACCACTAACTGTCCACACCTGACAGGTAAACAGCCAATAACTGTCCACACCTAAAAGGTAAACAGCCACCCACTGTACACACCTGACAGGTAAACAGCCACTAACTGTGGACACCTGAAAGGTAAACAGCCACCCACTTTACACACCTGACAGGTAAACAGCCACTAACTGTACACACCTGACAGGTAAACAGCCACTAATTGTACACACCTGACAGGTAAACAGCCACTAACTGTACACACCTGACAGGTAAACAGCCACCCACTTTACACACCTGACAGGTAAACAGCCACTAACTGTACACACCTGAAAGGTAAACAGCCACCCACTTTACACACCTGAAAGGTAAACAGCCACCCACTTTACACACCTGACAGGCTAAACACCCACTAACTGTACACACCTGACAGGCTAAACACCCACTAACTGTACACACCTGACAGGCTAAACACCCACTAACTGTACACACCTGACAGGCTAAACACCCACTAACTGTACACACCTGACAGGCTAAACAGCCACCAACTGTACACACCTGACAGGCTAAACAGCCACCAACTGTACACACCTGACAGGCTAAACAGCCACCAACTGTACACACCTGACAGGCTAAACACCCACCAACTGTACACACCTGACAGGCTAAACACCCACTAACTGTACACACCTGACAGGCTAAACACCCACTAACTGTACACACCTGACAGGCTAAACACCCACTAACTGTACACACCTGACAGGCTAAACACCCACTAACTGTACACACCTGACAGGCTAAACACCCACTAACTGTACACACCTGACAGGCTAAACACCCACTAACTGTACACACCTGACAGGCTAAACACCCACTAACTGTACACACCTGACAGGCTAAACACCCACTAACTGTACACACCTGACAGGCTAAACACCCACTAACTGTACACACCTGACAGGCTAAACACCCACTAACTGTACACACCTGACAGGCTAAACACCCACTAACTGTACACACCTGACAGGCTAAACACCCACTAACTGTACACACCTGACAGGCTAAACACCCACTAACTGTACACACCTGACAGGCTAAACACCCACTAACTGTACACACCTGACAGGCTAAACACCCACTAACTGTACACACCTGACAGGCTAAACACCCACTAACTGTACACACCTGACAGGCTAAACACCCACTAACTGTACACACCTGACAGGCTAAACACCCACTAACTGTACACACCTGACAGGCTAAACAGCCACCTACTGTACACACCTGACAGGCTAAACACCCACTAACTGTACACACCTGACAGGCTAAACACCCACTAACTGTACACACCTGACAGGCTAAACAGCCACCTACTGTACACAGCTGACAGGTAAACAGCCATCAACTGTACATACCTGACAGGTACACAGCCACCAACTGTACACACCTGACAGGCTAAACAGCCACCAACTGTACACACCTGACAGGTAAACAGCCACCAACTGTACACACCTGACAGGTAAACAGCCACTTATTGTACACACCTGAAAGGTAAACAGCCACCAACTGTACACACCTGAAAGGTAAACAGCCACTAACTGTACACACCTGACAGGTAAACAGCCACCATCTGTACACACCTGACTCATTCAGACCTCACCTGTGGAGCCTGTGACAAGCACTGAAGCTCTCCACACGCGTCACGAAAGCAATGGGTTTCTTTTTATCCTGGGAGGCCATGATGGTATACTGGCAGAGATGTGAGGGACACTGGTGGTGATGACAGCGCCCTACGCCGTCAGCGACACAACTGGTGTGACCAGGTCAGCGACAAGAGCGTAACACAACACCGTGTTCTCACGCTGGTAGTCCAGCTCCACTGGTCCAAGGTCGCTTTGGAAGACGGAACAATGGTCGCTCTAGTTGTCAGGGGTCTGCTGTGTATCATTTAATTATAGCCTTACCACTCAGTTCTATGCCTGAATTATGTTATTTTGCGTTATATTAATTATTTAATGACTTCGATTGTTAAATGGAAGAAATGAGATGCATTATCTTGTTTCATGATTGCTAGTGATAATGTGCACATGGTGATGTGTGGCAAGCAGTCGTGGGAAGAGGAAGCACCTCGCCACAGGAGGGACTGAAACTAAACACTCCTCCGAAATTTCATGACATTATGCGTCAATTACAATTACAACAAGGAATGCACCTACTCCGAAAGCGATATGAAAAGGCTCGAGAGCATTCAGAATGAAGCCATGACAATCATTCTTGGAGTTCCAAGAATTGCCAAAACGTCTAATATACGAGAGCAGTTGTCTCTCCCCGGTGTTAAAAGGAGAATTAAGGAGGCGATGAGTCACAATAACGTGGCTGAAGTATGTTGACCAGACCACACACTAGAAATTGAAGGGACCACGACGTTTCGGTCCGTCCTGGACCATTCTCAAGTCGATTGAGAATGGTCCAGGACGGACCGAAACGTCGTCGTCCCTTCAATTTCTAGTGTGTGGTCTGGTCAACATCAACGAGAATTAAGGAGCTGAATGTTAAGCTTACAATTAGGATAGCCAGAGATCCCCATTACAATGATATTGCTAAGAAAAAACTGAGTTCTGTACTACTTTCAGGGGGAAACAGGAGAAGCAAAAAATGGCATCACAGATCAGTCTACTACCTCGAAGAACTTCATGCACCTGCTTGAGCAAGCCCGTGAGCTCCTGCCTGTAGAGAGGTTACCTCCCTGGGTGGATGACTCATGCAAGATTATCATCAATGAAATGGCAACGAAAAAATCCAACATGATACCACAAGAAATGAGGCACAAGTATCTCGAGGAAATTTATAAAGAAGCCGGTGATGAACTAGATCAAATCTACACTGACGGGTCATCTAATCCTGTCAATAGCAGGGTTGGTGCAGCATACACGGTAATCAAGGATAATACTTTCCAAGGCAGAAATGAAGAAAGAGCACGTATTGAGAACTATGCCTCTTCAACGCAAGCAGAGCTAACTGCCATTGTTATGGCGTTAAGGTTTCTTGAACGGAACACTAATGGTGCAGTGATTTTCATCGATTCAAAAGCAGCACTGCAAAGCCTAAGTAAAAATCGGGCAGAAAATCTTGCAATAGTCACTGAAATTAAGAGAGCTGTGAGAGTACTTACTAATCAGAGAAGAATCATCAAGTTTCTGTGGATCCCCTCCCATATCGGAATATGTGGAAATGAACGAGCAGATGTGCTGGCTGCTGGCAATGTCTGGCAATGTCAATGGCTGGCTGCTGGCAATGTCATTGGCTGGCAATGTACCAACGATGTGTCAATATTTCATTCAAAATTATCTGCTACCAGAAATTTTAGCCAAATATCCCCAGTTTGCTAACTGTAGGTAGTAACTAAGTGATTGTAACCTATCCACCGCTGCCCACTGGATGGGGGGCGGTGTGCAGGACAAATATATCAATTGTGACACTAGCTTTCCACATATGTCAGTTGCTTAATTTAGAAACTGTACTTGAGGTCGATCTCGAACCCATTGTTGATGTGACGGCTTATACTGAATTTTGTAACTAGCTCACCAAGATTGTAACTTGCTTAGCTAAATGAACTGTGGGGTTCAGTCCCTGAGCCCATTATGTGCCTCTGTAACCCTTTCCACTACCGCCCACAAGATGAGTATGGGGTGCATAATAAATGAACTAAACTAACTAATTAACGGATATTAAACAGGCGGGCAGAAAATACCTACAGACTGGGGAAAACCTGATATGACAATGGGAGAAAATTTAACCCCAGGGCGTGAGGCCGTGCCGCCAAGGGATAAGGAGAAAGATTTCCTGACTAAAGGTAGGGCTTACTAGCACCTAGACTGGCTGTAAAGGCAAAGTATTATCTGTGGACAGCGGAACACTTGGAGACCGGCGCTGCATCCCCCTCTTCCCACTTTGCAGCGGGGTATAGACTGGAGGGACAACTGGCACAAAGCATGACAAGGAAACAGACACTTGCATGAAGGGGAGGCGGGCGGGAGTTTCGAGTGCAGCAGCTGAAGCGGGCAAAATGAGGGCAGAGCCCCTCTTTGCCCCGGTATTTATATGCCCCAGAACTACCCGCGCAGCGCCTGCTGGACGCGCTGCGCAATTGTCTCTTTCTTCCCCATCGGAAACAGCTCTGCTTTTCTTGCAAAGAAGAGGCCATTATCTAACATATTCAGAGATTTGAGTAAGGGTACCGAGTGATGTCTGGGGCCAGAGTTAGATATTGTCCTAATAGCAGCTTTATGTTGAGTAATTAGAGGACGTAAATGATTTTGGGTAGTAGAGCACAAATACCATAGTTGAGATAAGGATAGATGAGAGAGTAATAGAGTGACACCAGGGCAGGGCGAGGTATATAATATCTGATCTTAGAAAGAATGCCAACAGTTTTTGAAACTTTTTTTTATATATTTAGAATGTGTCCCTGGAAATTCAGCTTGTGGTCAATGAGAACGCCAAGGAATTTGCCATCTACTTTGTTACAAATTTGGGTATTGTTAATCCTAAGATTTATTTGATTTGAGGATTTATTGCCAAATAAAATATAGAAAGTTTTGTCAATGTTGAGGGTGAGTTTGTTAGCAGTTAGCCACAGATGGACTTTATTTAGCTCAGTATTCACTATGACATTTAGAGCAAGGGGGTCAGGACTGGAGTAAATGAAGGACGTGTCGTCAGCAAATAGAATTGGTTTGAGGTGTTGGGAGGTCATTAATGTAGATGAGAAAGAGGAGAGGGCCAAGTAAATAATAATAATAATAAATAAATAAATGTTTATTTAGGTAAGGTACATACATACAAGAGATTTTACAAAGATTGATGGATTTATAGATAGAGCTAGTACATACAATGCCTACAGCCACTATTACGCAAGGCGTTTCGGGCATGAAAAATATTAATGACTAAAGCTTAATACTAATTGAGCATAAAGAATAAAATAAATAAAAAAAAATAAAATAATTTATTTAGGTAAGGTACATACATACAATAAATTTTTACAAAGATTGGTTGACTTATAGGTAGAGCTAGTACATACAATGCCTAAAGCCACTATTACGCAAAGCGTTTCGGGCATGATAAACTTAAATGACAAGCTTAATACTAATTGAGCATAATGAGTAGAATGAAAACAAGAAATGAAAACATAGATGAAAAAGCAGCACAAATACAATTAAGTCGACAAACAGCGCTCATTAAAGAAAAACAGACATGGTTGACAATAGAAGGGTAAGGTAGGGTAAGGGTAAGGAAGGGTAAGGGTAAGGCAGGGTAAGGGTAAGGAAGGGTAAGGTAAATGTGTTGAGAACAAATAAAAATAGAGATAAAGAAGGGGGAAACATGGCAAATAGAATTGGTTTGAGGTATGAGGTTAACACTGTGGTTAACAGTGTCAAAAGCCTTACGCAGGTCTACAAATAACCCAACCGGGAACTCATTTTTATCCAGATCTGTATGTATCAAGTTAATCATACTAATAAGTGCATCGTTAGTGTTTTTTTGGAGTCTGAAGCCATATTGACAAGAGCTAAGTATATTGAGTTTGGCTAGATAAGAGTAAAGCTGCTTATAGATTAGTTTTTCAAATATTTTTGACAAGTTTGGCAGAATTGATATAGGTCTGAAGTTGTTGACATCAGTGGGATCCCCACATTTGTGGACAAGGGCTACTCTCGTTTTTTTTTAGAATATCTGGAAAGGTTTGGAGTTCAAGTGACTATTGAAGAGCAATGCAATGGCAGGAGCTAAAAATTTGGAGACTTTTTTGTAAATAAGAGTTGGTATCTCCTCAAGGGCACCAGACTTGGTTTTAAGGGAAAGGATTATGTCAGTAACATCAGTGGAGTTAGTAGGCATTAGGTACAGAGACTGTGGATAGTTACCTGTAAGATAGTCCTGAATATTAGTACTGGAAGATGGAATATCATTTGCAAGGGATGACCCAATGGAAGAAAAGAACCTATTGAACTCAAGAGCAGTGTCAGAGGCTGAAAGCAGACCATCATTATTTGACAGGAGTATTGGTTTGTTATTTAAAACCTTCTTCGATCCCAATATTTGAGAAATTTTGCTCCATGTTTTCTTAATATTGCTCTTTGTGTGGGTAAATTTATCTTCGAAGTATTTAATTTTGGCTCTCCTAATTATTTTAGATAGTAATGATGAGTAATTCTTTGAAAATTCTTTGGAGACGATTCCTAACCTATACGTCTTTTCAAGGTCTTGTTTTTTATTAATGGATTTAAGTATCCCCTTTGTAAGCCAAGGATTATTTAGCCTTTTAGTTGTGACTTGTTTCGTTAGCATAGGACAGTGGGTGTTATAAAGGCTGAGAGTTTTTTGAAGAAATGATTGCATTGCTAGGTTGATGTCCCCTATGTTCCCTAATTCGGATTCCCAGTTGATATTAGCAGCAGCAGCTATAAAATTGCCTATAGCAGTTTCATTGTGCAGCCTAAAGCTTATCTCCCTAGTCTCTAGAGGTGGTTTGTTAATGTTGGTTAGGAGAAATGTGGGGTAATGGTCTGTAGTGCTATCGATGATTATCCCTGAAGTAAGTGGAGAGGTTATGTTGGTCCAGATGTGATCAAGAGCCGTGGCAGTACTGTCAGTGATTCTAGTAGGTCTAGTGATTAAGGGTATGAGGAAGCAGGAATTCATACAGTTGGAATTCATTCATACAGAATGTGGAATGACCTTGCCAATCATGTTAAAGACTGTATACCTCTTTCAACCAGTTTAAGATAAAAACTAAGCACTACTTAATGAACTCCCTGTAACCTACCTTTCCCCTATAATGTCAACCCATGTCTGTTATGTTTTTAAACAATGCTGTTTGTCGACCAATTTGTATGTTTGCTGTTTTTCTGCCATGTTCCCCATTTTTTTATTTTTTTTTATTTTCTCAACACATTTTATCCTTTATTCTCAATTAGTATTAAGTTTTAGTCTTTAGTGTTTTTCCTGCCTGAAACGCTTTGCGTAATAATGGCTTTAGCCATTGTATGTACTAGCTCTATCTATAAATTCATCAAAATCTGTATTACCCGGCCCCTTGTATGTATGTACTTTACCTAAATAAACATTTGAATTTGAATTTTTGATTTGAATTTAGTAAATGTAACAGCCCCATAAGTGCAATTATGTACTATGTATAGCAGTCAGGAAATGCACTTATTACACTTAGTATTAAAACGTACTGTCAATTCGGAGGATGGGTTGCATGATAGCATGATGATAGATGGAATTTTGCCCGAAACGCTATGCGTGCTAGTGGCTTTACAAGAATGTAAAATCAACTCAATTTCTATGTTCTTTGTTAATCCTCAATGTACCTTTTTGTATATAAATAAATAAATAAATAAATAAATAAATAAATATATCGAAGTATTATCATTATTAGTACTAAAACCGCGTGCTCCAACGCCGGTTCATCGTTTTGAAGTCAATCCGGATTAAGTACCGGGAGTCGCGGTGACGAACGCTCTAAATATAAACAAACTCTCTAAAGGGAAAATCCCGTCCAGTTCAGCATTATTTACGGATGCCATAACTAACAACAACAAAACCATATTAATACAATAATCTATGGCTAGTATAACTATTAAGTTAAGTCTAAAATTGATCAGAGTGCTTACATATTTATTACTATCATTCTTATTACTGATGAAAAATGAATATATACAGTTCCATGCACAGAAAGTAACTTCAGAGTTTTGATGCTGATATGGACTTGGGAATTGTGCTGCAGTGTGCTTACAGTTGTTAGTGTTGGGGAGACGACGATCAAGGGATCGAATGCGCCCAATTTGCTGCATACAGTAAGGCGCAAATGAGAAGCTCTGTAAAAACATTTAAACATGGTCCTTAGATGGTCGGTATCAATAATAAGGTTATCATATATGATCATTATAATTTCTAGTAACTGTAAACTAAAACGTTTCAAATACTCAATGAAAAGTTTTCTAAAAATATAATTGTTATTGCCAAATCAATATTTTACGCATTTTTAAGTTCTGTATTGGGAATTCAATTTGTAATTTACATGCTAAACTCTAACAGAAGATTTCCACAATGAACATTAAACGATTGTGCGGAATCGTATTCCAGGGAATATTAGGATTAAGGACTTGCCCGAAACGCTGTGTGTGCTAGTTCTTACAAGAATGTAAGAACTTTTGTATGTATAAAAAATAAATAAACAAAAAATCATTGTAATAATGACCATTGCCTCAAGTGCCACATCAAGAGGCTAATCTAACATATAATACTCTAATGTTCTCTGTATTTATCACTGTACATTATACCTGTAGCATTGTTGTATTCAGGCTGTGACAGTATCTATTAGTCCACTGATTTTGTTGCTTGCCCCATACAAATATTTTGTTTGTGACAGTTCATGCTCATCTTTGTACTTTGGGTCCATAAAACAGAAATGGGGAACTTGGAAACATGTCAGATATAAAAGCAGAGAAAGTGATGTAACGATGACCAGATTAAGGCTGGGACACACCAAACTGGCAGCACACATCTCTAAAGACTGAACAGACATCAATGAATTCTACATCCACTGTCATGTGCCAGAAACAATCGAACACTACCTACTTCACTGTTTCCTTAAACTTCAAACAAGTACTTATTACACTTAAAATACCTTTTACCACCAAGCATATATTAGGAGGTGACCTCTCATTACATGAAAAATATAAAATAGTCAAAGTACTGGCTAAATATCTCCAGTCGACCAACAAATTGGGCCATATTTGACCTGTGTCACATTTATACCTGGCGCCACCAGCAGCCAAATACAGAAAACAACTGCCTTGTCGCAGCACCAATGATCAGCTGACGCCATAAACACAACATCCCGCCCTACAGTGTGGCAAGTCTCCCTCTAACACACACCTCTGTTTAGTCGCCACTCCTCTATCACACAACACAACAAACACTTTTGAAACCTTGTCATTCTCAACATTAACATGTCACTCAACATTTGTACACGTCACGCAGTATTTGTACACGTCACCCAGTATTTGTACACGTCACCCAACATGCAAACTGCACGTACCATCAAGAAGAAGAGACAGTTTTTCTTCCTTGCGATACATTCAGTTTGCATGAAGGCATTTCCTCCTGATGACTGCATGAGTGGGAATTTTGAAACATGCATCACTCACAGTGGTGCATCAATGTTCGTAATTTGGCAGAGGTTGAAAATTACTGATGTCATGTATTTGTGTGAGGATGATGACAAAAATAAACACATGAGTGGAACTTGACTCAGGATGGCAAACGTGAGGAGTTGTATTGGTGGTGGTAGCAAAGTGTTGCTGTTCTCTGGAACAGTGTGTGGTTTAGTCAAGAGACTGACATTGAGAGTCGAAGTATGTTTGGGAGTTAGTCGCAATTCAGAGAGGTTAGGGTAGATTAGGGTAGGGTAGGTTAGATGACGTTAAGTAATGTGGGGTTAGTGTTGTGTATAAGGTTAGGTTAAGTTGGGTAGGTTAGTTTAAGATGGGTTACGTTAGGTTGTCATATTGCGGATCTTTATATCTGGGATGTGATTTATTATTTATTTATTTATTTGTTTATTTATTTATTTATTTATTTATTTATTTATTTATTTATTTATTTATTTATTTATTTATTTATTTATTTATATACAAGAAGGTACATTGGGTTTGTGAGAATACATAGCATAGTATTTACATTCTTGTAAAGCCACTAGTACGCGCAGCATTTCGGGCAGGTCCTTAATCTAACAGATAATTTTAAGTAGGTAAATTTTAGCAGAATTAATAAAATGATAACAGATACATTGCAAGAAAAAAAATGAGATGAGAGAGATTAGTAAGTATATTAAAGCACTTTGGTATATTAAAGCTCTGATTGATTACATTGACAGCTTGATTGGTAATTTAAACAAGATTAATAGGCACCATACAGCAGATTGATAGCACATATAAGAAGACAGCAATGATCACAAAGGTAAAGATGTTCAGATTGGGTACATAATCCCTAAGTCTCTCTGATTGCTCTCAATCTCTCCTCTCTCCTCTCTCAATCTGACCTCTCTCAATCTCTGACTGATTGCATCAATCTTCTTTGATGTCCCATTAGTACAGCATGTTGAATATCTGGGAATGGTTGGAGGATGTGTCGTGGGAGATTGTAGCTTACGTGGTTTGTTAGTCAAAGTGACTGATTGCTGAGAGGTTGCATAGATGGGGATTTCTTAGTGCCAATGGTTGTGGTTGTAGTTTGTGGCAAGTCAGCCTAGAGAGAGACTTAGGGAAGGCATGCTAAGTATTTATTCAGAAGTTTGTCCAGTATCAGTTTAAACCTTTTTGTTTACAACAATGGTAGTTGCGTTAGGTTGGATGTCATTGTCTGCAAATGTGAATGGAATGTGTGTTAGGTCAGTCTCGGAGATGGGTTGAATTACTTGTGTAAAGAATTTAGGAGTTGTACCAGTGTCTTTTCTATTGCATTTTCAATGCGAGTGATGAGTGGTTCATCAAGATCTGAACACAGTTGTACATTTTGTGGGAGAGAATTGAACTCTGGGGATGCAGGATGGTCAGTGACAGACATAACCGGTACATGCAAAGGTTGTGGTTGAGTGAGTGGTAGTAGTGAATGATGGAGTGAGTTAGGTTGCTTCAGTGCAATACTGTATTGCATGTTGTTGGTGGAGAGAGCCTTAGTTTTTGCAGCTTTGTATGAAGGACATTGTCTGAATGTAATGTCATGATTGCCACCACAGTTTGAACAGTTGAGTATATCTGATGCACACTTTTGTGTGTAATGGGAACCAGAGCATTTCCTACTTTTGATGTCTCTGGTGCAGCCTTGTGAGGTATGGTTAAATCATTTACATCTAAAGCATTGAGTGGGACATGGTATGTATACCTAGATTATGGAGTAAGCTGTTAATCTAAAATCAGTCAGGGAAAAAGTAGTCTGGAAACGTAAGTAGGGCCGTGCCCGTATCACTCAGTTCTCTGTTTGTTCTACGCATAATTTTTTTTGACTCCAAAGATTGGAATGTCATCTGCCTGAAGTTGTGCCTTGATGTCATCTGCACTAATGTCTAGAACATATTGGATTACATATTTCACTAATCGGTCACATAGAGATCGGATTACATATTTCGCTAATCGGTCACCTAGAGGTTTTTAACATATTACTTTGTATCCACAGATGTCAGTAATGTCAGAAAACTCTAGTTCCTTACTGCGTTTGTGGTCCACTGTTATTAAGTTTCTTCATTTGTTAGGTCTGATTTCGTGTACTTTGATCTTAAACATCTCTGGAATTGCGTGGTATAAGATACTTTGTGTCCTACTATTTCCCCCTAAAAAACTACTATCCTCGTATGTATCGTCATCAAAGGCAATGATGAATATTTTTAAACTAAGAGAACTCGTCCTACCTGGGTTGAGAGGAGGATGTTGATATTCAGGCTGCAAGGGAGCCTGGATGGTCTCTGCTTACCTCCTGTTGCTGGTAGTGCTTCGCCTCTAATCTTTTTGCTTAACTGTGATGTTTACTGTCCAGGAAAACTCCTACTGGATCTTACTCTGGGATCGGGAGACCATCTTAATTTATTTATGTGCCATGTAACAGTGGTGTCTTAAAATCCTCAAAGGTATCGTGAATGTTTGTAGGAGAGAGACTGTGCGCACCTCGAGCCGTCGGCATGTTGCCTCGTGCCCCCCATGACACAGTTTAGTGTGATAGCTAATCTGCCAGTTCCTTCCTGCACTCCTTTGCTCTCTTCAAATTCACCTGAGAGTTCATTTGAGAACACATAATTCTGGCTGTGTTTGTGTTCAGTAGGCCCTTAAAGTCACCAGAAGCTTGATTTAACAATCAAGTGACTAATGAATCAGAGCCTTTATTTGTGTATGATGTTTGTCCATCATACACTCACTAAAAACCAATGGTGGGAACATCGGTAAAATACCACCCATTGCATACAAGAGCGCCTCCCATGCCCTTGCGCCACCCATAGTTCTGCTGTTCAACAAATCTCTAGAGTGTCATACCTTCCCTGATATCCTTAAAAAAACAAGAGTAATGCCAGTTCATAAAGGAGGCAATTCGGCATACATAAACAATTATAGACCAATATCAAACCTACCAATACTGTACTATCAAAAATATTTGAAAAAATTATCTACAAACAGCTCTACTCCTACCTCATAAAATTCGACATACTCAGCCCCTGTCAGTTTGGCTTCCACTCCCAAAAGAGTACCTACGATGCAATTATTTGTCTCTTTGATATAATCTACTCAGCCCTTGACAAAAATAAGTTTCCGATTGGACTCTTCATTGACCTGAGAAAAGCCTTTGATACTGTTAATTACAACTACCTTTTACTTAAATTCCATCATTATGGAATCCGAGGCCCTGCCTTGGACTATATCCGATCCTATCTTAGTGATAGACACCAATGTGCAGCCATCAATGATATAACCTCTCCCACTCTACCATTAACCATTGGAGTGCCATAGGGCAGCATCTTAGGACCTCTTCTATTTCTTATATACATCAATGATCTGCCTAATGTCTCTAACATTCTTAAACCTATATTGTTTGCTGATGATACTACTCTCATCTACTAAGACCCCCAACTCACACACATTAAATAATGTTGTGAATAATGAATTAAAAAAAGTCCACTTATGGATGTCAACCAACAAACTATCACTAAACATAGAAAAGACCTACTACATCTTATTTGGAAGCAAATCAACAAATGCAATTCAGCTTCAGATAGACAATGTTAACATTAGTAATAAAAATGATGGAAAGTTTCTTAGCCAATTTCTAGACAAGAGACTCAACTTCAGCACCCACATACAA